CATGTATGTACCTGCTGCTGCAGCCCCAACATCATCTTCCTTGGCGTCCCTGGTGTTGAGAACCAGCCTGGTTTTATAGTTAGAATTTGAGGCATAAAAGTCTGAGAGCGCCATTGAAATGCAGCTGAATCCCATTGCACTAAAAGAATTGTTCATGTTTAGTACCACTCCCACGTCCACGTTTATGAGAACTGTTTGATTCTGCGCCATGGCCATGTGTGCAGTCAAAATGTTCAAGGACAGAGAAAAGAAGTAGTAGAAAGAGAAAATGAGTTGGCTTGAAGATTTCTTCTCCATTTTTTCAGCTTTAAGGTTGACACTATGGGTTTGAGCATAAGACAATACTGCAGGATTAGAATGTTGACTTGGAAAGGTTATAGAGATGAAGTTGAGATTCCGAGGAAGAGTAGGAGACTTTGGAGAATAAAATTATATTAGCCATGACTTCATGAAAAGTATTTTTACGCGGTGAGGCTCTAATATTAAATGATGTTGTCAAGGTACACATTGAATTATTATGTAGTTGCATAATACAATATGACATTTTAGTTTTACCATCTTTGGCCCTTTTCTATATTAAGGAATAAAAAATGATAAATTTAGGTTTTCGCAAAAGAAAATGTCACTGTTACAATAGATTTTTAATATCAAAATACATGAAATGACGAGGTTATTTTTTATTTGTTGTCCCGTTCTTTGTAAACATAACTTTCATATGGAATATGACATCGCTGCATATTAAAATCCCGAAATATCGTTCATACATTTTGATTTGCACGGATATTGCTTGCAATGTCTAAGGAGAATTTTATATTCTACCCTCCGAAAATACATAATATAAATCTGTCTAGTTTGACTACTTCTTTCCTTAATGTCCATTTTTTGAAATTTTAAATTATGTTTTCTTTAATCTTACATTTTTATTTTTATATTATTATTATTATTTTAAATAATAATTGTAAGGATTCGAACCTATGCGCTTCCTTCGTAATCTTGTATGATATATTATTTAAGTCACTAGTACACATATCATATGCAAAAGATTATTTGAGAATTGGTTGGTGACCTTTGACTTGGTAGTATACATAACGTATCATATGCAAAATATTTGGCCACTTCAATAGGAAAAGTCTATTGATGATGATTTAAGGAAAAATATTTTTTTATGCGGTGATATTTAGTAATTAAATTATTTCTACTCATTTCTTAATTTTATAGATATTATCAACATTATTGAGTACGACTAGTTAGGTGCTATCTAACTTTCAAAATTATTAAACATTGAAATAATTGTAGCACTTCTCCTTCAATCAAATACCTTACAACATCATCTCACATTTTTGGCCACTATTTTCATTTTTCACTGAAATTAACGCCAAATCCCATTTACCTTTCCCCAGCCATTTCGTTTACTAGATCTTTTATTGCGCCGACTATGTTTCTTGGCTTGTTGCTGTAAATGGCTCATAGGTGGCAGCTATTGACGACCGTGGTGGTGGTGGTGGTGGTGGAGAAGATGATAATGATGTTTATAATGGGCAGTCGGCAATTGTGGATGCCGTGTTGGTTTGTATTTTTTTTCCTTTTTCTTTCCTTTCTAGTTTTTATTTATTTATTTATTAAATTTTTTTTCATTTAACATTTTTGTTCCTTCAAAAACATGACGCATAAGATCCACATGGTCTATGTTTGACCCTCATTTTTTAAAACTCATTTTTTTTTTATTAAAACTTATTTTCAATCACACATTTTATGAAATTCATAACTTTTATCATGTTTTCAATTATACATTTAATCAATTTTTATCAAAATTAAAAAAAAAAAAATCTATTAAAACCGAACATGGGTTTTTGGACTATCCAACTACAAATAAGGTCAGAGACCCAATTAATCTGTAGTAAACTACACACCATAATAATCGTATTGATGATTTTTTTTTAAATTTTTTTTTCCTTTTAGGTTTAGAAGGCTGATAAGTGTATTTTCTAAACTTATTCGAGACTTGAAATTGTAGAATTTTATTGTTATTTTAGTTAAATATGACCTAAATTGTGTCACATTACATCTTTTAGGTAAAACTCGATATTTGATGAATAATTGGAGAAATGAAGCAAAATGGAGCAAAAAAATGGCGAAATCCAAAGTTTGGGGATTAAATTGCAAATACTTAATTGTTGAGTCGGACCTCAAGAAGATATTTTGAAAATTGCTATGAGATAATTGGATGGAATTAGAATTCAAAAGGGAATGGAATATGATCAAAATATTATCAAAGTCAATTTCCAATCGCACAAGATATATTCCAGATTTTTAGCCGAAAATTGATACCCCTTTTTGGCATAGTAAATGTCACTAATGGAAAAACTATATTTCTAGGAAAGTTGTATCCATTTGAATTATCTTTTCAACGCATTTTGAATCGTCTCAATCGGATATCGGAAGAGAAAGTTATGACTAAAATACGGATTGCTGTGCATAGACAAAAAATTTCGTGCACAAATGCAACTTTCCTTATTCGATTAGAACTCTTTTGGAAACCAATTTGGATGTGATTTTCAACCAATTTTCGACTCATACAAATAGAGAACAACAGAATACATATAGATAACCTCCCTAGACCTAAAAAT